TCCCTCCCTTCCTCCCTTCCTCCTCAGCCAGAGAAGATGAGCAACTCACCTCTCTACCCAAGTAGGAGCCTTCCTTTTCAAAGATCAGGGCCAGATACTCCTTGTTATTTCTTGCAAAAAATTCATCAATCTCCTTCATCCTGGAAGAGACAACCCTGGGGTCACTCTCCCCGCATAGTCATGGGGAATGAGGTAAACTCCCAGTGTTCTATCACTTTCAGTGTCACTATGTCACCCCACAACTTTGGGCCTCCCTCTGCCAGCCCGCCAATGGACAAAAGCCAAACCTCTAAGTCTCAGAGGATGCTACCCATGCTACGTAACTCTGTTTTTTTCATTTGATCCACCTTGGGTTTTATTGTTTTGTATTTTTCTTTCTGTCTCTTTTAGGAGTCAAGAGAGCAGGAGGCAAGCTGGGAAGGAAAAGGGGTGGAGATGCTTTCAGACCAGCTGTCTCCATGTTCTGGTAAGGCCCAAGCTTACTGGAAAATGGTTTTATTGGTTCCCTAAGAGACTGGTGGTTAGAACCTATCAAATACAAGCCCTGATCTGTGGCAAGTCATGACCAATGGAAAGAGTTGCATTTTCCTCTCAGAACAAGAACAAAAAGGAAAGCAAAGAACTCAGGTCCTACGTATAGAAGACCTCAGAAGCTAATGAATCCAACCTCCCTAATTCAAGGTGAGGAGAATGGGATCAACTGTTTTCATAGTTGGAAATGATTGAGAAGGCAAATTCTATCCTCTCTACCAGAGAATTATTAAGCTACAGATATATATATATATTACATATATATATGTGTGTATGAGTGTACAGCCTGCTTGTACGTAAGTGCATCTGTGTTGTGTCATGCCCATGGAGGTCAGAAGAGGGCATCAGATCCCCTGGAACTGAAGTTACAGACAATTGTCAGCCACCACATGGGTGCTGGGAACCAAATCCGAGTCCTCAGTAAGAGCAGCCAGTGCTCTTAACCACTGGGCCATTTCTCCAGTCTCATACAGATTGTTTTAAAATTTTAAAGTTCTAACAGAAGTAATACAAAAATTGTTTCTTTATTCCAATTAAAAACAACATCAGCATATGCTTAAGAGGTAGACAAGTGAGGGGTGGGTAAAGACAGACCACATCTTCCTTTTATCCTTGGTGTCTCACTTCTCTCTACTGAATCCAAGGAATGTAGCAAACACCCCAAACAGAAAGGATGACATGAAGACAATGCCAGAACCCAGCCTGGTGGCAGCATGAGTGGATATGCCAAAGAGGTGGGAGGGTAGGATTAACCTCACTGATGGATGAAAGAAGTTCTGTGGGTACTACCAGTCTCTGGGTGGCATCAGGTGGCCAGTCTCTCAGACCACATCCTTAGACCTACTCTAGAATGGCAAGAGGGCAAGTCCTCAACCTTCTGGAAGAGGTAGTCCATGTGTCATCACACATATCTGCCTTATTTCTATGGGACATTAAAAGGATAACTTCAAGACAGGCTGATAGATTCAGCCAGTTTGTTGCTTTTATGGTCCCCAAGGCTGAAAATGCACTAGGAAGGACACCTCTGTGTGTGTGTGTGTGTGTGTGTGTGTGTGTGAGAGAGAGAGAGAGAGAGAGAGAGAGAGAGAGAGAGAGAGATTGAGACAAAGAAACTGTCTCCAGGAAATGGAAGGAAGGAATGACCAGGGTACATTTCCTAGAGAGATGAGATGGTATTATGGCTTGGATATGAAATGTCTCCACAAAAGGCTCATGTATTAAAGGCTTTGGTCCTCTGCTGGAGAGCAGCAATCATTGAGAGCTGATTGGCTCATGAAGCCTCTAACTTAGTAAATTACTCAGCTGATAGAGTCATAATCTGACAGCAGAATTTAGGAGGCAAAGAAACTTTCAGAGGGGACTGGAGAGATGGCTCAGCAGTTAAGAGCATTGACTGCTCTTGCAGAGGACCCAGGTTTGCATCCAGTGGCTAACAACCATCTGTAACTCCAGTTCCAGAGGATCCGGTACCTTCTTCTGACCTCCTCAAGCATTGCACAACACGGGTACACTTACACACATGCAGGCAATATACTTATACACATAAAATAAAAATAATAAATAAAATATTTTTAAAAACTTTCGAAGGTGGGGCCTAGTTGGAAGAACTACATACCTAGGGTCATGTCCTTGGGGACTGTATTTTCTTTCTCTCTCTCTCTCTCTCTCTCTCTCTCTCTGTCTCTCTGTCTCTCTCTCCCCCCACCCCCACCCCCCACTTCCTGGCTTCCATGAGGTGAATAGCCTCTGTCACATGCTCTGACTGCCATGATATTCTCTCTTATTTCAGGTCCAGAAAAATGGAACCAGCCAGCCTTGTACTGAAACCTCTGAAATAATGAGGCAAATCACTCCTTTTAAATCTTTTAAATTGTTTCTCAGGTATCTGTCATGGTAATAACATAGATGGAATCTGGCTGTAGAACCCCAAATCACATCAGGACTATATGTTTGACCCAGGGTCTTTGTGAAGCCCTGAGACGATGTGAAATTGGTAAAGATGATAAAGGAGTCATTGTGAATTGGACTGAACACCAGGTAACACTGCACACAGTCTCTCAGCAGGGCTAAACCTGTGAAGAATGCCAACAGATCAACCTAAAGCACTTTTGAGCACCATACCTGCCTTCATGTGGCTTTGCCAGCTCTGGGACCTTCACTGTTTGAGGCTGGGCTCCCTTACCACCCTACCTGGTACACAGATTTCTTCCTTCTAGGTAAGAGTTCCCTGAGGAGGGCATTATTCTATTTTGAATTCTCATCCATAAGTGTGGGAGGGGTTAGTGTTTATACTCTGCCTGGCTCTCTGGTAGACTTTATCCAAGAGACTATATACCTCACTGTCCTCATTGTTCTAGAACACAGGCAAACATGAAGATTGCCTGGCTGTTGGATACAGGATATCACCCACTGCACCGCATGCTCTGTGACACAACGAGACAAGGGAATCCACCCCAATCAAAATCACTCTCAGAAAAATGACTATCTTCAGTCTATAGAAACAGGGCTTTACTCTTCCAAGCATCCTGATCTTTGTTATTTCTGAATGGTATTCATCTCTTTGTCCTCATTTGTCAGTGGTCTCCGGACCACTAGATCAGGGAAATCCTGCTGCTCCTCCAAATGTTCCTGAGGACTGGTAGGAAAGAACAGCAGCAGGTATGGAGAATTCCCTCACAGACTCTTCCTTTTCACCTAGCAGGTTGGGCCCTCCACCCCTTGGGCAATCTCTAAATGATAGGGCTTCTCAGCACCTGGAGCAAGAGAAAGCCACTACCAGCCACTCCAAAGTGTTTCTGGCAGACTAGGGTATCTATCCCATAGGCAAAAGCATCAGGAAGAATCAGTGTGGGTCCTTTGCCCTGTGGTTCCCAACATTTTCTCCATCCCTGGCCTGGGACCCTGGCCTATGCTACACTAAGCCTGCCCCCAGCCCAAAATACTTGGCAGGCTCCAGTGGTGGACAGGCTGGGGGCCATGTGTCACGGTGGGACTCCAGAGCATCAATCAGCCTCTCCCGTAGTATCTGCACGTTAGCACCAGCCACTGTGAATGAAAACAGGGGACAGGGGCAGGTCAAGACAGAAGGACAGACTCTAGCATCTCCATCAGCTTCACTCACAAACATGAGGCCACAAACTAGTTCCAAGAAAGAGCACATGCCAATAGCATCTGAGAGGAGTGTAGGTGAGAGTTCTTGTGCCTTGAAGCAAAGCCAGGAGAGATCTATCCCTGCCAGAGGGTAGGAAGGTGTCCCTCAGAACTGGTTGTCTAGTTTGCTCTTGGATGCCAATGCTACTTTAACATAAAAGCTGTTCTGGGAATATGGTGTCCCTATCCCCAACCCCAGGACCATGGATGGGCCATACTTGAAGGGCTGCTTCAGCCTGGTTTCCTGAAGCATCACCCAGGCTGACTGAGAAGACACTTTCAGGAAAACATGATCAGCTTTCACTTGGGACCTCATCATCCTTGTGAGGGGTGTTTCTCTTCGCTCCAGCAGAAACCCAAGTAAAAGCAAGAGAATTGGAGAAGATGCTGACAATGCCAGCAGTACAGCTGGAGCCAGGGCACCCACCTGGCAACACTGCTCCAGAGCCATTCTTGGAAAAGGCCTTAAAGAACTGAAAAGAAACACATAGACAAGAGTCAGTGGTCCAGGCTGGTTAAGGACACAGTGGTGGTTTCAGATGCACCTGCATTTAAAGCCCAGTTGCTTATTAACTGGGGTGACTCTGGGAAACCTACTTACTTTTTTGAGCTCACTTTCTTCATGTGGAAACAAGATCAAGGAGGGTTGGCACTTGGGGCCCTTCTCTAGGATCTTCCCTTTCAATCCCTTCTCAAGGCTGAAAAACTCTCAGAACCAGGAGGCAACATCTCAGAGACTTTACAAGAGATCACTCCACAAGGCAGTAGTGTCTAGTACATAGTAATTGAAAACTACTTAGTGAGCAATGAAGGATCATTGTTGATTTTCCTTGCAGACAAAGTGACCCCTTGGCAAATGTTAGTTTTCCCATGTATCACTGTCCTTGCCCCTTTTCCTAGAAAGGGGGCTTTGAGGCTGGTGTCACATCAGTAAGAACTCCTAGCCTGAGGAAGAGAAGGCTTGATCCATGCTGGGTAAAGGCTTTCCAGTGTGCATACCCTCAGGTCACTCATACACTTCAGCAATCCCTCAGTCATCTCTGTAAGTAAGCTCAGTATTCACTGGCTTTCCAGGAAAACTTTAATTAAACATTTGTTTGACACTAGAACCTTAAAAGGGGATAAGCATTGCTTAGTATCCCCAGGAAAAGAACTCTCACAACAGATGGAGAATTTATTTGTTAATGTTATTATGTCTTATAATTATTAAAAAAAGAAAATGAGAATGTAAAAGACATTAAAAGGATATGGGAATGGAGATATTTTCCAAAATAGAAAAAATGAGAAAGTCTAAGCAAGTGATGAAGGTCTGTATAGGTTTTTCATGATATATAAAGGATGAGACAAAAATAATATACACATAATCTTAAAATTTCTACTGTCATAGTTTAGTCAACTAATTTAAGGAACAAAATATATGTCTAGTCAAGGTTTATCTGAGAACGTTTTGTTTTTGCCCAAGCTTTACCTACATAGCACATGGTAATTAAAAGTACCAGACTGGTGGAACTAACCTTCTTGGATGTTTAACAGCCATACTTTGAGGCCTATACTAATCTGGTCAGAGGGACTTAAGTATTTTGCTCCTTGCCTTCCAAGGTTGACCAAGTTCCAGGGGACTATGGAATGTCTCTCAAAATGTCCTGTAACTGTGGAGAGCCACCTGTCTTCTTGTGCAGGGAGGCCATGGAGACCCTATGAGATAGACCTGAACCAGTGTCCAGTCTACAAAGAGGAGGGTCAACTCAGAGGAAACATTTCCTCTGTGCTTCTAAGTGAAGCCAGCCACAGTTGAGCAGGATCTTTGATTTATCTTCACATAGACAGAACTAGTGAAAGAAAGGAGCCAGGGGCTCCTCCCAAGCCCACGTGACCCCTGAGGAACAGATCCTCAAATGACCTTAAGAGTAAAAATAAATTGGTTTATTTGGGCCAACTGTATGGTCTTAAACACCCAAAAGGAAAGTATAACCAAAGACTAAAGTGATCAGTCTATTTCTTTAAGAGTTCAAGGGATTACACTTCCCAGACATTGGCCTTACATCCATATAAAATGTTATTTAGACAATTATTTCTCATTGATGATTTTGTTTCTAAGCAGAACATGCTGCCTAGATGTAAGACTTCAAATCCTGGTCTGCAATACTGTAGTGCCCACCTGTAGCTAAGGGAGACAAGCAGCTATTGTTCTAAAATGATGGATAAATTTGCTTTCTCTTCCTATCTAGAAGCCTTTGAGAGGGAATTGACACGGATTCTAGCCACTCCAAAAGCTATCAAAGTGCCTGAAAACAAATCTTGAATCCATCACTCTCAAGTCCAAACTTGGCAGACAAAAGAAAAATGAGGAGGAACCCAATAAAGGGATGCTTTTGGAAGCTCTCGTCAAGAAATTTCAATGGACTCGGATATGGACATTTGAAATTAGCCCTGTTCTGACTTTTTTCTGGTTCCTTGTCTAGAACTTGTAATGCTAACTACTCTTGCCTTTACTTCTCCTTCACATCTCCTATTCACCAGTCAAGGACTTTCTTTTTCCCCTACAGAGAAGAGTTATACAATTTGGGAGTCTTTTAGATAGACCCACTGAAGGGGTACCCCAATTGCCTCATCCTGCATCCCTGTTCAGCATGGAAGAAGTCAGAGATGTCTGCATCCCGATTCTCTATCCGCTAGTTGGGTAAACTCTTCAGAGGATGGTGTGATAAGAATAGGCGGTAGGAATTGGCTAGGCAGTTAGGGTAAAAAGACCCCAAAGAAAAGTAGCCAGTTTCTTGGCTAAAAGTCAAAATGTCCTTGGGCCTCTTAGCAACATACTCTGTTCCAAAGGCTAAAAATGTCAAAAGTATTTAGGAGCTTTTATTCAATCCCTAAAAGAAAGGGTTACCTCTTCAGAGTGGGGAATGTTAGAGTAGCAAAAAGCCCCATTAAAAAAAGAAAGAATGAGTACATGAAGTTGTCAGAAAAAAAGTGATGGGAAGATTTGGGAGGAGTTGGGGGGGAAAGAATAGGAATGGATTTGATCAAAACACCTTATATGCATGTGTAAAATTCTTAATAAATTAAAAAAAAAAAACAAAAAAGTCCTAGCCTGGCATGGCACACAGTCAGCTATGGTTCAGGGCTTGAGAAAAGGTACTACTGAAGGATGGGCCAAAGCCCCCAGAAAAACAAGCTTTTTTTTTAATGCATAACCAACTCCCCTTTTCCCATGTATGTAAAACCCCAGGCCTAGTCTGTCCTTGGGGTGAGAGGACAGAGAGAATACAACCTTATAACCTGGGCTTTTGCCCAGATAGCAAGATTGCTGCAGGGCATCTGTCTAAACCCTCTTGCCCTGGGAGAGAAGAATTAGTTGTTCTGAAAGATACTTAACCAACTGCCTCAGGAAGAGCTTGCAGGCTTCTTCCCAGAGTTCTCAAACTTCAGAGCTATTTTTTGCTACTTTACCTCTACCTCCAACAGCATGGCCACTTGGCCTTATCTGGAGCTGAGTGCAGGACATGGGGTCTGGCAGAACTGGGTTCAAGCCCAGTCTCTGCTATGCTCCTGCAATGTGATCTTCAAAAACTCTTCTACTTCTCTGAACCTTAGTATCCTGAGCTTTAAAATGAGAATGACACCATCGACCTTGAATTGTTATAAGGATTCAATGACAAGAAATCTACAGTGATTGGGGCATAATAACCAGTACATATAACAAGGAATCAAAAAATGTCACTTGTATCACCATCATTCCTTTCTCTCTTTCTACCTTTTTAGCACCAGGAAACATTGACCAGCTAGGACTGTTCTATTCCAGCCATATGTAGGCATAAACTGAAATCCACATGAGAACAGACTGCAGAGAAATGGCACCTTCCCCACCTGTTGCCTTGCCTGCCCCATGAGCTCACTGACTCTTAGTCTTGCTGTTTCATTCTCTCCTTTTTTAAAAAATATTTTATTTATTATTTTAATTTTATGTGTATGAGTGTATTGCCTGCACGTAGGTAGTTGCACCCGTGTCATGCAATGTCAGTGGAAGGTCAGAAGAGGGCGTCAGATCCCCTGAAACTGGAGTTACAGATGGTTGTTGGCTGCTAAGTGGGTGCTGGGAATCGAACTTGGGTCCTCTGCATGAGCAGTCAGTGCTCTTAACCACTGAACTATCTCTTCAGCCCATTTCATTCTCTTTTTAAAATATGAATGCAACCTTTTATTCCTAAGTGAAAACAATCCACATATGATACACACATTTATTTTTTTTAATATTTTATTTATTATTTTTATATTTTTATGTGTATGTATATATTGCCTGCATGTAGATAAGTGCACCTATGTTGTGCAATGCCTGCAGACGACAGAAGAGGCTGTTGGATCCCTGGAACTGGAGTTACAGACAGTTGTTAACTGCCATGTGGGTGCTAGGATTCGAACCTGGGTCTTCTGCAAGAACAGTGTTCTTAACCATTGAGCCATCTCTCCAGCCCTGATACACATATTTATACCAATGTTCTTGACAGTTACTGAACAAACATTGACCTAATAAAATTATTATTCTAATCTTTGTAATATGATCACAAATTTCCTGAATTGTGACATAAAATCAAGTTGATAATATGGATTATGATCTTTATGGATAAATACTACATCACAGAAACAAAGATAAGTGTGACTATGCAGGGTTGAATTACTCAGTACGATTTTGTAGCTGAACTCACTCACTCATGAACAGACAAGATGGACTTCAGCTTGCTTCCTAGAGAGGACACCTCTGATGTCATGGACCAGCTTTCAACCGTGTGGCTTTCCCATAGCTATAGCTGTTATTTTCAAATCTGGAGAACAACATGGTACCTTTCCTTCATCAGACATCAGGTCACCCAAGTCTGAGCAGGTACTTGTCATAAAAAGGGCTAGAATTCCCACCAACAAAAGGCATCTCCCTCACAAGGTGCTACCATAGAAGCTTAGAGTTGGAACCAAGGGTGCCCCCAAGAGACCCTCCCACAAGTGTGGGGCTAAAGGAAGGTTCTCTATCATCACAGCCTTCTCTGTACTCAGAGGCTTCTAATCTACCTTCCAAAGCGAAGTCACCCTTGTAGACCTTGACTCCCACATCTCATGGTCTTTGGGAACCTTTTATTATCAATATCTCTCTCATCATACTCCTTTTCTATTAGCCCCTTTCCTAGGATACAAACAGATCCTAAGATCCCTCATGGAAAATTTTAAAAGGACAAAAGGGAAGAAGGATAAGATGAGAGAGGCCTTCCTTCTTCAGTTACTGCATTTCCTGTTTCCCTATACTGTCAAATGATTCTTCTGCCCCCCAGATTTCTCTCTCCATTCCTCTGAGCCTACCACTCAGCTAAAAATCATTCCAGGAAAGCTGGGTTGCTGACTCTTTCTGGCCAAACTGGAGACATCTCCCCAGATGTGATTTCTGCAATAGCTGTCTCATTTTCACCTGCTTTCTGCCTCCCTGGCT